TTATAGTTAGGGTAAGTCCACCCCTGGTTGTGCTGCTATAGGCCTAGACTGCCGGGGGATTTCCCATGATGCACCGAGCTGCCCTCTCCTTTCTCTCTCTCCCTCCCGGTGCAACCTCATTCCATTAACAATGTTACTAACTGGACTCTCTCCTTTCCCCGTAGTCGTGTGCTTTCTCCTCCCCCTCCTCTCTCCTCCTATCACAAATGTGTATCTTAAAATGATGTATATATTGCTTATGCACATGAGAATGTTAACAATAAAAAAGGGGTATTGAGGTTATGATGGCTTAAAATGTCTGTGCTGGACAGACACTGTTTTTATCTTCTTGGATTATTTGTAAACAGTGATAATATTTTGATTATATGTAATAATAAAACTGAAATAAACAGCAGAGATATCATTTACGATTTGAGAATAATAAAATATTGTTGAATTTCTCATTTTCTAAATGTTGGGCAGTAGCTTTTATCCAGTGAGGAGAAGGGACGGAAGGCCCTGCCTCCCGACTCTAATGTGTGTCAAATCCCCCACCTGAGTGAGTAACTAATCCCTTTAGGCTGTGTCTAATGCCCTTCACTGGAGAACACCTTGATTTTCAAGTACTTTAATCCATGCTAATATAGAGAACTATGGACCAAATAAATGGATAATCTATCCATAAGGAAATAACCTGCTTTAGTTATGAACACAGTGTGTAAATTCTGCAATACAGAGCACAGTGCACGAGTCTGACAGCCACCCAATAAATACTAAAGAGGAAGTGAGCACGTTCAGCACAGCTCAGACCAGCGCAGGTCACTTCCTGTTTACGTCTCAGCTACTTCAGGCTGCAGATAATCCCGATTTTTATTGACCAATAATGATATGTCTGGGGATGCTAAAACTAGTAATTCCATTAGACTTGCTGCTCGTCGGTAGGAACACAGATACTGATTTCAATTTAAAAATACCTAAAACACAAATAAATCGTTGCAATGTTTCCTTTAAGTCAGGTTGACGGGACTCCTGTATTTTTGCCGAGCTCAGCAACAACTTTGACACTACTGTGTTCATAAAGTTACACACAGACAACTGAATTTACAGCCAAGGCTCTTAATTCAGTATTCAAAGTTTCATCCACTCTTAAAAAACTGGTCAAACCTGATTCCCGTGGCACACGTGCCTGAGCACTGACAGCCGTGTGGGTCGAAATATTAAAGTCATTTGCTGATTTAAATGTAAAAAGCTGAAAAACCACGATCAGTGCATTCAGTAATGACGGTGCAGTGTTTCTGTTTGCCAGTTTTCTAAAGGATTCGCTAACTACCCAAACCCCCAAATTCTCCAAAGCTTCACATGGGAAACATTTTCTCTCGCTCAGTTAGGATTATGGGCCAGAGTGTTACTGGGCTTGTAGCTGGACTTCCACACCATCCATCCATCCATCCTTCTGAAGTGGCACAGTTTAGGGATCTCCTCTGGATTATGATGTAATGATATTTTGGATGAGCAGAGACCATGACATCCTAAAACAACCAGTGAGTGACCGAGCTGGTCTGAGCATGTTCGGAGGAGGACCGCGGCCATGAGAGCAGAGACAGTGAAGATGGAATGGGTTTGGAAAGCAGGCAGACGGTGAGGGCAGCATGCACACAGACAGCCATATTTCCAGCACACCAAGTGAGACTCCAGAGTAAGACTGGGAACGTTGGTTCTTACTTGGAGGTAAGGCTTGGTCAGTGGCAGCAGGAAAATGGTTTAGGTCATGGCTGGGCCGCAGAACTGGAAGATGGCCAACGGGAGGGGAGAAGCCTGAGCCTACAGGACATCAGAGAGATAGTAGGGGATGGATTACCACCAGGCGGGGGGGGTCCTACACCAGCGGCCTGAGGAGGAGCTAAAGATCACAGCAAGCAAAGGACGTGCACACAGTCTATCAGTCAAAGGCCAGAGAGGCTGTACTTGAACACCAGTGATCTTTTGCTAACATTAAATCAGTACTGGGGGACACTGGGCATGTGGGGGCAACGGAGGGGAGTGCTAGCACCCGCTTCTATCAAGCTAGTGATGAAGAATGTGGCCAGATACTGGAGCTGTTTGATGAGCAGCACAATGGGCTGCAGGCCGCACACATCCACATTCTTGGGGAGGAAATCAACCACCCGGCTGGTAACCGATTAATTCCCTGCATGAAATTAGACCCGACTTCTCACACACAACAGAAACATCTGCTTTGCTGGGACCTGCAGTCCTGAACGTTTGCCATCACCGCTGATATTCACAGCGT